TATTATCTTGGTCTCAACGCATTTCTTCCCCCTCCATTAATGATCAAGTTGCGGCCCGCATGAAATAGCCATCGTATGTATGCGGCCCACGTGAAATAAGTAACATATGTATGCGGCCCGGCAGAAAAAAAGGTTAAGTACCCCTGCATTGGATTGAGGATTATTAAAAAAAGAATGTGTTTAAATAAAAATTTATGCCACTAATTACCGTTATTGCTTTACCTTTTCTACGTGAACATGATATTTAAAAAAAAATTAGATATTTATAAAACTTGTGCATAACAAGGATGTAACATAATAAAAAAATAAATACCTATCAAAAATGTATTATTGGATTTTTTAAAAAGTCTCCTCAAAGGTTCGCTGTGTAATAAAAAAATAGTGATGACGTCAATAAAAGTATAAATAATGAACTTTTTGGGACATAATTTATAAATTACTGACAAACCTGATTGTTTTCGTAATTCTAACTCTTAAAGTTAGGTGCATAAAGAAAACAGCAAAAAGCCATGCAGATTAGTAATGAAGAGTACGCAAAAAGTTGTTACATGTACTCATTGAAAATTTCATTTAGATTTGTTTCGATAATGTATGAACCGTATGTTATTATGTAAAATCTTTCAAATCGCGGACATACCCACACCTGACTATTCCCCCCTTCATGTGAGCCCAGATTACAGATTTCTTTTAATTTTTTCATACTGCCGAAGGTTAACTATGCTAGTAACAGAATTTTTATACATTTACTCACAGTGTAGCACTTTTTTTATAAATTCAGTGTTGCTAGGAGTAATTCTTTCATCGCATGTGTCAAAAAACATTCCGCCATAACTTTCAAAATAAAAGAAAAAATTCCTGGAACTGAAACGAATGCTCATCTATCATCTAACAAAAAAAGAAAAGCTTACATTTTCCGAAATACCCTTTTCAGCACTTAATGACTTTAATTCATTCCTTCTTCTAGATGTATTATGCATTGTTCTAAAATTTCACTCAAAAATTGCGCCATTTTTCAGAGTCGGCTCCTCTGATATTCTTCCTTTGCCATTGTAATCAAGGTTTTGTAATGTTTTTTAATTCCAGCCGAGTTCCGGTTTTACCCTTTAATTATTAACGTTAAATTAACCTTCAAGAGAAAGGTTAGAAGAATCGAAATGGTTCATTAGATGTCCCGCGGCGACTGGAATAATTATAATTTCGATTTCTTCGTTTTCTTAAGACGGTTATGGATTTTTGAAACAATGGAAATGAAAAAAAAGAAAGTTTCGGAATAAATTTCAGGTATTGCAGAACAAAATGAATGCTAATAAAAAAAAAATTGTTCTTCAAGCATCCTTTTATTTGTGTTTTTTTAGCTGAATTTTCTTTTGCCATTTCTTCTCTAGCTGTATATACCCGCTCTATTATTTCAAAAATTCAAATGAAAAATTTAAGCATCGTATTCCAGTGGCTGAGTGGTAGCGTATCACGCTTCCATGCCATCTCTGTATACGTACGTGGAGTACGGGGGCTGAAATCCCGGGATGAGCCTTTCATTACTCAAGTGGGTCGATAAATGAGTACCAAGCTTGCTTGAGAACTAAACACTGGGGGGGGTCCGCGACAGACTGACCACCTGACCGGAATATCTGCTCATGCACCTCAACGCCCAAGGTACAGTAAACTGAGATGGGCGCAGTAGGCCTTGCTCCTCATTGGATGTTGCGTCACTGAGTTTAGTTTAGTATTCTAGGTAACATGCTATTTTAAAAGATAAATAATGTATATCGGTAAAATTATAGCAATATTTCGTGTGTTAGAAATGTAGATAAAATGAAATGGGAGTTAAAAAACTATCGTTGTAATTACCTATTTTACTTAAAACTTTGTTCAAGGTTTTTCTCTTTTGCTATTAAATTTTCGTGTTGTTTTACGCCAACATAATGAGAAAAGAAAGCCCAGATTATATGGAGTTAATCGGTTTTGTGAATAAATATATTTCCCGTGTTATCATTTACTAAATTATCTGGTTTTCAGCAAAATAGTTAAGTGATTAATTAGAATCTATATTCCAATAATTTGAAACGTAAAAAAATAATAAATATCGTTTCAATATCAATCTTAAGTTTTTCGCTTTAAAAAGCAAAATATAACAAGCATTTTGATACATTTGTTGTTCTTAAGACATATAACAATATTCTTCTTTGATGAAAATGCAGAATATTGATACTAACTGAAACACGTAAAGAAATATTCGGAAAAAGACGATGAATTATAAAATGGAGTTAACATATAGTACCCTACTCAATATTCATTGTTAATATCGATTTAATTTTTTATATTATCAAGACGATGAGCACATTGAAAAAAATAAGTGCAAAAACTTTTATTAGAATTTTTTTTTTACGATTATTTTTATCACTTCACTTCCTAGAGCAGTGCTTCTCAAAGTTTCAATATTCGCGACCCACTATTCGATCCTAATTTTCATCGCGCCCCCCTCATACAATAACAGTGCATTGAATTCACCAATATTATACTCTGGTGCTGAAAATACGATACGACTTCGACCTCTTAAGTGACACCAGCGTATATAAACGTCTCGCTTAGCCAAAGCAGTAATTTCCCCTGACGTATATACATTTTTCCGAAGTACGATCTTTTCTGTGCAATGCTATCCATAAAATTTTGGAATGTAATAAAAGGACCTTGACAATATTTGCGAAGGATTTACTTATTTCAAATTATTTACTTCTTTATTCCCCCAATATATCTTATACGCGCGAAAACGTGTTGAAAACTGTTGTCATTGGGACGCTAATAGCGTAACCTTTATTTGGTATAGTTAAAGAATTTATTATAAACCGTACACATTATCAAATAAAATAAGTGTTTTATATATACTTTTTGTATATAATTTTATACATGACAATCCTATGGGGGGTCACTGGCATTTATAAACGTTCTTAACATAGTACTGTTAAATTAATTATAAAATACATTGGGTGTAGCACTGATACATTTATAAGTGTAATATACAGTATAAATGTATATTTTATTTTTTATTATGTATTTTGTTTATTTACTTTTTCAGTAAATTAATTTTTTTCAAATAATTTTCTGTTTTAAACTTTTCAATTTGCTCGCGCCCCCCTCGTAGAGTTCTCACGCCCCTCAAGGGGGGCAGTTTGAGAAACAATGTCCTAGAGAGCTTTTTAAATCAAAATACGTTTAACGCGTAAACGCTTGAGACGAAATATCAGTTAACACGAAATAATACAACAGTCCCGACTCACTACTCTGTATTTTTATCCAAGTTTTCTTTGAACACGAAAAGGTTCCCATCTGGGAATGAAGAAAATACGGAAACCCCCATCCACGCAGATTTAAGAGGGGTGTGAAATGAAAAAGTTTCACATGTTTCATGGAAATGGGGCTAACTTGTCTTTGAAATACACTCGGAATAGCCTATGACACGAGCATCTCTCATGCATCTTTCATCCTCTACCCCTACAAAAGCCACACAAAAACATCCCAACTCTTATAAGTTGGCTTTGGAATCCGGTGATGAGTCTCTTGCAGGGTGAGTAAAAATCATGAGTTAGGATTACATTAGTTTTTTTTTTTTTAATTTATTTTAGAAGAATTTTTTTACGAGTACAATGGCAAAAAGCTCAGGGGGAAATCAAACTGCTGTTTTTACGCTTAAAATGAAGATGGCGCTTCTTAAGGCTGTTAATCAAAAATAGAAGACGAAAGCGAAAATTTGAAAACATTTTGGTATTGCTAAATTTTGAATTAAACTGCATTAAGTTTTTGTGAAAGTTTTTTTTTCATTGATTTTTTTAATGCATGCATATATGTATATCTATGTTTATAAAATGTGCTCTAATATATAAACTTAATTTTATTGAATACTTTTTTTTGAAATATTCTTTAACACAAAAAAGTATTTTAGTCCTCTCAGTTTCGTGTAAAACGATTTTCACTGTACTTCACTTTTTTTCTTTTGGACGTAATAATTTAAATCAATTCCCTTTCTAACTATTCCAGATGTGTCCTCTGTTCTGTCGAGGAGCGTTCCTCCTTGCCATCGTCTGATTGTTTGACAAGCACTTTCTGCTGAGATGACGGATGACGATCTTACAGTTATAACATCTGTTCCTTGAAGCCATCTTGTAACATTGTTGAGTGATGTAAAGGTTGAACGGTTATTACATTGAATACCCTTTTGTTCATTTTTTCTTCCCTTCAAAAATGATCCATCTTGTTCTGTGTTCACATGCGAAATAAGAGCCCTTCTTTTTTTGAATGCGCGATGAAAGGAAATGTGGAAATTCAAAATAAGTTAATTTACGTAACCTTTGCGTTGATTCAATTTCCGCATTTAAGCTCTTTCAGATGGCAATACGCTGAAAATTATATGTGCTAATTATTTTAGACAGCTTACACATGATACTCTTATTTAGAATTGCCTTGTTTATGGGAATTGGGATATATATGCAGGACCCAAAGTCACTGGCGTCTCAGGGGGCCCTGTATCAAAATTCCTTCTGGCCGTTTCTTAGATATGGAAGCCATGTTAGGGGAACTGTAGTTACCCATGTTAAGGCACCTGTAGCTTGGGGGCCCCGTATCATTGATACGGCTGTAGCTACGCCCCTGCCCAAAGTCCTGCCCTGAATATAAAAAAAATCATTACAAAATAACCGTTTAATAACACTAGCAATATAAAAAAGAAGTTTTTAAATCAATTTCTACTTCACAGTCAACAAAGAAAATTTTATTTTAGTCATGTTTTATTAAATAATTGCAATTAATATAAATATGTATATACATATAACAAAATCACAATATTAAGTGACAAAATAGAAAGCGATTTTCCTTGCAATTTTCCATTTTCCTTTCTATATAGGGTGCTGGACTGTTATTTTTGTTTGTTACTATTTATTGATTCATTAAATTTAATTATTCTAATAAAATAGTATGGTAAAAAGAAATTACATTCTCAGAAATTAGGCCATCCCAGGTGGGATTCGAAGCCACGACCTTTGATTTAGAGGTCAAACGCACTATCCATTGCGCTACAGGGACACTGTGACCGCTTTTCCTTTTTATATATGGTGTTGGACTCTTATTTTTGTTTGTCACCATTTATTCATTAATTAAATGAAATTAATTAATATTTGAAAAAATTGTAATAACATCAAGTGTCATCCACTATAAGTTTAAAAAAATGTATTTGAACTTGAGTGGATGAATAAAAAGTATTTTATTAACGATTGAAAATTTGAACAATATATATATATATATATATATATATATATATATATATATATAGGAAGAGAGTGAATTAATAGTAGGAATTGAAAAATTCCAAATAATACTTACAATATATAAGAAAAACTCGTATCTAATTATAATAATTTGAGCACAATAAATATTTATAATCAAGGCAAGACTTGAGGTCCACTTTATGTGAGTTTATACACATTTAACTTAAACATTAACGAAATCCTTTTGATTGATTTATTAACTTCGCACTTTGAAACTATACTGACTGACGCCATAATTTTGAAATCACGATCAAGTGATGAAGACACCATCAACTCTTTTACACGCTAACGTGACGATTTAAAGCCTCTACCGCAGCGATACTCAATCTGCGGGCCGCATGCGGGATCTTGCTGAGTAGCCCGGTCATGCTCCGTTTCACTCACAAGTTCAATTGTTTAAGAACACTGTATTAAAAATTGAGCGAGAATTTCTATCAAGCCATCCCACATAAAGATTTTGTTATCGATGTGGTGTGGGTAGGAATTGTGGAATAACTTTTTTTTCTTTTGAAATTGTAACGGTTAGTGTTAACAAATATCAGTAGAAATGCGACTATTTTACGGGTGAAACTAATTTTTAACTAACCTGTAGTGTTGTTTTACAAATGTTCGTTGTCAAATGCTGGTTCGTGTTTTAACTAAAACGTTGCGACCTTTGGACTGTAAATTGGTTTTATTACGAGATGGTGCTATTCGCACGCTGTTCCAAGATGGAAGATACAACAACAACTGAAGCGGAGGGTTACATCAAAACGTTGGTGGAGGTGCTCAGTCGGCGGATGGCATTCGCAACAAAAAATAGATACAATTACGGACTGAACATCCTCCCCCCGTTGAATTACATTCAATCAATATACAGAATCACATAAATCAAAGAAGATATAAAACATAATAAACAAATAATGCTTTACATAAATCAAGGAAGAAACAATTTCACAAATTACATATTAATTGTCCAAGGGCAGAACACACACCTTCCCAATGCTGCGTTTAATATTGCCCTTATTAGTTTTTATTTCCACTACGCGAACCTTCCCATCCGTACCAGGAACTAGCTTGGTAATGCGACCTAAGCTCCATTTATTTACAGGAAGATTATCATCCTTTATTAGGACCATTGTATTTAATTTCACGTTATCTTTGTGAAATTGCCATTTGTTTCGTTGCTGTAAATTGTTTAAATAATCGCGAGACCATTTTGTCCAAATATGTTGAACTGTTTTTGTTAATTTTTGCCACCGAGAAAGTGTGTTTTCTGTCTTGTCTAAGAAATTAGGTTCAGAAATGGAAGTAATGGGTCTTCCAATTAAGAAATGGCCTGGAGTAAGCATTTCCAAGTCGTCAATATCTTCTGACAAAGGAGTGATTGGTCTAGAATTCAGAATTCCTTCAATCTGTGTTATTATAGTTAAGAATTCTTCCAAAGTCATCTTTAGGTTTCCTACAGCTCTTTTTAAATAAAATTTGAATGATTTAATTCCTGCCTCCCAAAGTCCACCAAAATTTGGTGCTCTAGGTGGCATGAAATTCCAAGAAATCCCTTCAGAAGAAAGATAAGAAGAAAGTTTTCTTCGGGAAATTTTAAGAGATTATGTAATCTTTTTAATTCTCGATTAGCTCCAACAAAGTTTTTGGCATTATCTGATGATATAGTAGCACATTTTCCGCGTCTAGCCACAAAACGCTTCAATGTAGCAAGGAAGGCGTCTGTGGTCAAATCCGAGACAATTTCGAGATGGACGGCCTTTGAGGCTAAGCAAACAAAAATGGCTACATATATCTTTTGGTAAGTACCCTTTCTCTGGTGTTTATACCTTATGAAAAAGGGTCCACAATAATCAATTCAAGTATGCAGGAAAGGAAAACTAGGGTTTACTCTCTCTCGAGGTAAAGATCCCATAAGTTGGTTTGCTACAATAGGTTTATTTTTGAAGCAAACTACCCATTCATGCACAATTTTCCTCGCTATTGATCTGCCACGAAGTGGCCAAAATCTTTGTCTTGTACAATAAAGCAAAGCTTGAGGGGCTAAATGAAAATTTCTATTGTGTATATTTATCATAATTAATTTGGTGAGAAGATGATCCGCTGGGATTATAGTTGGATGTTTCTGACTGTAAGTTAAATCCGAGTTTTGCAAACGTCCTCCAACCCTCAAAATTTGATTTCCATCGAGGAATGGATTTAAAGAGAAAAGTTTACCTTTTTTTGAATTACAACTACTCTTAGCTAGAAACTCGATTTCTTCTTGAAAGGCAGAGGCTTGAAGATTTTCAATGAGGCATAATTCTACTTCATTCACTTCACTATAATCTAATTGACCAGACCTTTTTACACTAGGATTTCTAGAGTTGTGGAGGAACCTGAAAATGTAACTCAAAATATGCAACAATTTCGTATAGTTATTAGAACGTTTTGAAAGATCATCTATAAGAGATAATTTACAAGAAGTTAAAAGCACATTTGCGGGTTTAAGTTCCTTTAAGTAGTCACTGTCAGAAGTTATCCTTTCAAAGTCAATTGGATTTGCTTCAAGTTCTTCCCTTAAAAAGTATGGGCCATGCCACAAAATCTGTTTAGAAGAGATGTCCGATGCATTCAATCCACGTGATATTAGATCAGCCGGGTTTTCATTAGAGGATACATGATTCCATTGGCAGTTCTGGGTTAGTCTCTGTATAATTTTTATTCTATTGCCGATGAACGTCTTAAGCTGCTCAGGGGATCGCTGAATCCAGGCTAACACAATGTTAGAGTCAGTCCATAGCATTATTTGCTTTATAGGTATCGTCAAGGAATGTAAAACCTTTTCCAGGAGCTGTGACAATAACACACAAGCACACAATTCCAAACGAGGGATAGTGATTGGTTTCACCGGTGCAACACGGGATTTGCTGCACAAGAGTCTTGTAGATACATCCTTTTCTGAGATCGATTGAGCATATAGTACAGCACCATATGCTGCTGTTGAGGCGTCGGCAAATCCATGGATAATAATTCTGCCTTTTCCTATTACGAGTCGAGGGACATGGATATTTTGAATAACTGGCAGGGTAGACACGAAGTCGTTCCATTCTTTAGCTATTGCATTGAAGAGAGGTTCATCCCATTCTAATTTGACAACCCAAAGTTTCTGTAATATTAATTTGGTCTTAGTTAGAATTGGCCCCAAGAATCCAAAGGGGTCAAATAAACGTGCAATAATGGATAAAACTTCTCTTTTTGTGTACGACTCACGGCAGTTCACAACGGTCTTAAAAGAGAAATAATCAAATTGTGGACTCCAAATGATTCCTAGAGTTTTATTTGTTTTTTGGTCTGATGATTGGCAATGGAAATCCCAAGATTGCTCTTCTTTAGGTATTGAATTCAATATTTCTGGAGTATTGCTACACCACTTATGTAGGCTCATACCCGCTTTTTTAAATAAACTAATTAATTCTAATTGTAGTTTTTGAAATTCTTGAAAGTCTGAACTATCTGTTAAAATATCATCCATGTAAATGTCTCTGATTGTAACTGATGCAGCCAAAGGATAATGTTCTCCTTCGTCCCTAGCTAATTGCTGAATGGTTCGGGTAGCAAGATAGGGTGCACAAGTAGTCCCGTAAGTTACAGTGTTGAGTTTGTAAGTTTGTACAGGACCATCAACACTGTCTTTCCATAAAATCATCTGCAAATTTCGATGACCGGGGTTAATTAAAATCTGTCTAAACATTTTTGAAATATCCGTTGTAAAGACAAATGTGTGCTGCCTAAATCTCAAAAGAATTGAAAATAAATCTTGCTGCAAAATCTCGCCTTTATACAAAATGTCATTCAAAGAAAGACTTGATGTTGTTTTCGAAGAGGCATTAAAAACTACTCTAAGCTTGGTAGTTTTACTATTGGGGCGAAACACTCCATGATGTGGTAGAAAATAAGAAATATTTGTTTCTAGGGTGTCAGCTACTAATTGCACATATGGTTTAAATCAATATATTCCTGTAAGAACGATTTATAAAGGGTTTGTAATTCATAATGTTTCGAGAGTTTTTTCCAAAGTTGATTCAAACGAACTTCAGCCAAGAACCTTGAATTACCTAAACAGTATCGATCTTTTTTAAGGGGTAATTGTACAACATAGCGTCCTTCTTCAGTGCGATAATGAGTGTTTTGATATTGGGTTTCACAAATTTCTTCTTCTAAACTATGTTCTATTGAGGATTCATCTACCTTTTCGATTTCCCAAAATGCTTGCAATTGTTGATTAAGATTATCTGAATTTATTTCCGCATTAATAGCTAAGCCACAATATGATTTTTCCTCAAATTTATCGAAACTCCCTACAACAATGTACCCGAAAACAGTCTCTTGAAACAGCCATTTTTCGCATGGCGATCGAAATTTATTGGGTCTTAATAATTCAAAAAAAGAGCTCGCACCCAATAAGCATATCTATTTCTCCTGGTATACCAAAATCTTTATCCGCGAGATCAATGTTCGAAGGAATGTTTACTTTAGTTGCATCCATGCGATGGATAGATGTTGTGGTAATATACGGGACGATTAATAGTTCTAACGGCGTTGAAAAGTCTCCATTTTTATTTTGAATCACCGTATTTACCTTTTGTTTAACTCCAAGGGTTATTTCACCTAACCCCGAAATAGACGCATTTATTTTTTATTTTTTCAGAGGGAGTTTATTAGCCAGCCGTTGTCGAATGAAGGAAAGATGAGATCCTGAGTCTAAAATCGCTTTGCAGGAAAAAAGCTGAT